TWTACCAGARGAGWTTCATTAGATTTGTATAGTATAGACCRCATGATTACAAGCATGATTTGGTAAAAGTAGTTGGCCTAAAGKTCAAAATAAAGTTTCCCTGTGTTTCATAGTGCTCTTTCACATTTTCATTAACAAGTTATTTGTGTTCAGAATTGCTTTATTTTCCTTCAGAGAAATTTGATCAAAATAATTACAAGTAAAGATCATATCTACAGCATTGATTTTATTTTGTATTTTTGACATGAGTTAGGGTTTCGAACAATAAAAGAGGGARAAATTACTAAAAAAATATTTAAATTTAATTAGTGCAATATAGTGTAGATCAGACAATAAAAAACAAAGGAATCTGCATAATATGGTACAATTTAGCACTGTCAAATCACTAAAKATTTTCATGGTAATTGCACCCATCAAAAATACGTACAGAGCATTTAATGATAAACCATATTTGTCTGTACATAATGTAGTATCAAGCTATGCATTGCATGAATTTGAAAATCTACAAAGACAGTTCCATGTTGAGAAAGAATGTCGYGATAAAGCTGTAGAAATTGCTGCCAAGGTTAGTGGAAATATGTATCCTTTTAAGTCAGAAAAGAGCCATTGTTTTAACCAAGAAAAGGACTTTTGTACGTAATAACATTAACTTGAGGCTGATAAAAAATTCATCTAACAATTAATTCTAAATATTAATCTTAATAAACAGACTGTTGAAAAGAACAATCAACTCAAACGACAAAGTCAAATGATTTTGACTCAGATTGAAGGCCTGAATGGAGAAGGAATAGATTTGGTATGTAATGTCCATCATATCTTAAAATGTATTGTTGCCATGGTGATTGGTCACATGACAGCTTTTGTGTGATGTCTTTACTAGAATGCACTTCAAGCCCTTGGTAATGTTTCCRATGAATCAGAGTCTGACAGTGCTATTATTCAGTTACAAGATGAAGTCAAAGGTATTAATTACTAATTATTAATTTGCTTTCTAACTGTATCCATTAGTGAAGAAAGTCTGTATGACTACAATCAGTAGTTCAAATTTCAAAACATATCCACTAGAATGGAATGGGACCTAAGCCAAACCACAAACCCAGCAAGTTTTTGTACTGGTTGATGTTTGACATCTTTTATAGAACTCAAGGAGAAAGTGGAAACATTTAAAAGGGAATTAAAAATTGCTCAAAGAGAACTYCTTATCGCACAAGAGGGGGTAAGTGATCTTAGTCACAAAAAGGAAAAATATCATCACTTGCATTATTTCAATTCATTTTAATCCATTCATATTTTTTTCAAAGTTTAACCAAGAGAAGCAAGCTCATGCACTTACCAGGAAAAAACTTTTGTCTAGCGATAAGAAGCTAAAGCAGCTCAATAGAGGTAGAATTATATCTTGAACTCCTCACAACCACCCTTCACAGAGAACAACCCGCTCACTTAGAGGAAACTTGATTCTGAGTAATCACATTTTCCTGCCCCTTCTGAGAATAGTCTCCTTCACGGTTACGTGCGTCATCTTGAAAGGTAGCCGTGCCTTTGCAAAGAAGCGAGACGACCGTTGAGCGTGCAATAATAGATACCAGTCAATAATTGTCTGTAGGTTTGAAAGAAGGTTTCTTTCATTGCATGCTCAATGGTTGTCTCCCTTCGATGCAAAGGCACAGCTATCTTTTAAGATGGCGCAGGGAAACCATGAAGAAGAATATTGAACCAGTGATGTAGGCTTAGCTATAGCCACAAAATGTGATATAACTACAACTTGCAGTCTCAATTTCTTTATTTGGTTGTCTTGTAAAAGACTTCCATGTTCCCTGTATCAAAATATTGATAAATGTTTCTGGGAATTTCAGTTTCTGTGATGGCTTTTGAAGAGTTCAATGTACTGCAGACAAAACTTGAAGTTGAGACTCAGTGTAGAGCTGAAGCAGAAAAATTAGCTGCCGAGGTGAGCTTTTCCCCAACTCATGGTACTGAAAGATAACAGAGAATATCCTACTGAATCTCCTATAGAGTGCACGCCAAAAAAGTGTGAAATCAATTCTTAACAAGTCAACAACTAATAAGATTTAGTTATCAACTAACTAAGAATTCACTGGGGCATGAACACAATGCCAGAAAGGAAACTTGTCTTTGTTTATACCTTACTGAACTCTTAGTTAGTTGATGACTAATTAACAATTAGACCTCGAGGTCGAGTGGACTACGAGCTAATAACCCATGAGGCCGAGTCCGTGAGGCCGAATGGGCTATTAGCTCGTAGTCCACTAAAACAATTAGACCTCTCGGCCTCGTGGACTATGAGCTAATAGCCCATTCGGCCTCGCGGACTCGGCATCATGGGCTATTAGCTCGTAGTCCACTCGATCTCGAGGTCTAATTGTTAATTAGGCGTTAATTAGTTAAGAATTGTTTCACACTTATGTGGCATGCACTCTACTATCTTGATTTACATTATTCTGACTTATTCCATATCAATATTCCAAAGGCAAAGAGAGCCGATGAAGATGTGAAAAGGAAAAGTCTGATATTGAAGGAGACAGCCAGTCAGGAYGAAAGACTAGCAAAAGCTTTTGAAGAAATATCAAAACTCAACAAGCAGCTAGAGGAGGAACGGCTTGCCAAAGATGAAAAGGTACAAAGTCAAGAACCTATAGACTATTGTCTAAGCCCATAAGTTTGTCATAAAAAGCAAAATTCTGTACACTAAATGAAACATAGCGAAAAACAAACTTGCAAACCAAATCTGTACCATAATTTCTCTTCATTTTGACTTGTACAATGTTTTATAATCCTATTTGCAGATTAAAGAGCTGACAGAGGAGTTGGTATCATCAGCAGATGGAGAATATTTAAAGGGTATTTTCTATTTATTTGGCTTTGAAAATTTAATAATAATAATAATAACGTTAATTTTTAAAGCGCTTATACAGCTCAGATCTAAGCACTGAGAAGAAAAAAATACAAATAAAAAGTTATAAATTATAAATAAAATTTACAAATTAAAGGCATGTTTGAAAAAATAAGTTTTAAGGCGGGATTTAAAAAAGTTAATGTCAGTAATATTTCTAATAGAGGCAGGTAGAGAGTTCCATAATATGGGAGCAGCAACAGTAAACAAAGAGTTATGGTGCGGACGAGAATCTATATATTACCCGATAAAACACACACATGAGTTCTTTAAACGACTTCTAGAACTCCRACATCCAGAATTTGTTATCATATTGCCAAAAAGCTAAAAAATAGTGCAAAAACAGTGATAATGTAATTAAACTTCTAATGAGCATGTGCATTGTGCCACAATTGAAAGAATTTTGATCCCACATGGCTAGTCTATTAACTAAACTACATCATGTCTGCACACTGATTTAAACTAGAGTCTATGATGCGACATTAAAACTGAGACGTTTGCTAGTTTTGGGTTGCCATAAAGTGCTGATGTACTTGAACATCAGCTCTTTATATCTGATATAGAACTGATAAATAAAATATCAGTTCTATATATCTGATGCCTGTGCCTTAGTTTCCTTGTGGTTGCTTTTCTGGATGGAGAGGAGATTACCTGTACCTCTACATGAAATCTCTGACCTGTCGATGAAATGGTTTTTAGACTAACTAATGCCAATGTTTATTGAGAATTARCTGTTTATTTTCTCCTTCAGGAATGAAGGACAAACTAGATGTTGCCAATGAAGAAGTAGAAAACCTAGAAAATCAAGTGACTGAGGCACAAAAAAGAGCTACAGAAGCTGAAGAAAAAAGTAAGTTGTTGCACTATAACTTACATTGGTTTTGCATAGAGAACTTCAATTATTCTGTGTTTTGATAGAGGTTTCTTATTTTCTTTCAGTSAAAAGTCTAGAAAAGAAACTTGAGGATCTCAAAAAGGCATCACTTCCACCACCACCCCCTCCCCCACCRGCAGCACCTCCCCCACCYCCTCCTCCCCCWCCAACTACTGTTGTCAAGTAAGCAAATAATTAAAGACAATTATCATGCAACTTTATTTTCACTTTTTTTCATTTTTCCTTTTATCTAATGATCATAACATCTTTTTCCTTKTGCAGGAAATTCATGAACATTATGGGAAAGAAAAAGAAAGGTGATAGCTTGAA